CAGCTGCGGGTGGCTCGGCTCGGCTCGGCTGTGGCCGTGTCTGAACTGATGGGAGGGGAGGAAAGGACATTGACACATGAAACCTCCTGGCCGGGCAGTGCCCCGTGGGGTCAGTTACCCGCTTCTGCTCTCTGGCCAGTGTGGTTGAGGGAGCAGAATGTGGTTGACACACATCTTGAATGTCTGTATTTAAGGGAAAAAAACCCACAGGAAGGCCACAGTGCCCTGTTCCTGCCGGAATACTGCCTTCCCTGCTCCCTGGGGTTTTGTTTCTGTCTCTGGGGGAGATGGCTGATGACTCCAGGCCTCTCCTGGCCAGAACTGTGCTGGTGGGAGCCGTGTAGCTGCGCGGCCTGACAGCAGCGTGGCCGTGGAGGAGCCTCCGAGCTAAACTCCGCTTGGTTGCAGGTATTCTCAGCATGATCATCATCCGAACACTCCGGAAGGACATCGCCAACTACAACAAGGAAGATGACATTGTATGTGTGTGTTCTGGGGGCTGGGACCAGAGCGGGAGGGCAGCACAGATGAGGAGGGATCTAGGCTGGAGACTTGGATGTCTTGGCTCTTTCCTTGTCCCGTTTTGCTCCGAGCCCTGAGGATGGGGGGGCAGTTCTCTCCCCGGCTCTCAGGGCGAGGGGCAGTTCTCTCCCCGGCTCTCACAACACCCCTGGCTCTGGGCATACAAGGGCAGGTCACCAGTTCAGGTGCCTTCAGCCCTAAGTACCGGCTGCCGACCATTCCATAAACTTGTGCCCTGGCAGTTGGGTGTGAACTGGTTTAAGCCCAAGAGGAAATACGTTTAACGAGTGATAAATTCTGTAGAGGAACTGGATGCAGGGAAACAACTCCTTAGGCTGCTGTGGGACCTTCATTCCCACTGTTAGACCGTATCCAAATAGCCTCTTTTCCCGTTGTTGCTACAGGAGGATACCATGGAGGAATCTGGTTGGAAACTTGTGCATGGAGATGTCTTCCGGCCTCCGCAGTATCCCATGATCCTCAGCTCTCTCCTGGGCTCTGGAATCCAGCTCTTCTGTATGATGTTTGTTGACATCTGTAAGTGGCAGGTGTTGCAGGGGTGGCTGACGGAGAGGGGCGATGCTCGAGGGCACTTGCAGCTCCCGCTGACTCCAGCCTAGCCTGAGCGCAGTCGCAGACGGCTGCTGCTTCCCCTCGCGGGGTTTACCGAGGCGACAGGCCTGTGTGCCGCATTTCTGGGCTTCGGGATCGCCTTGCCCAGCTGAAGGCATCCGTGGGTGGTTGTATCCCTGGTTACCAAGACAGGGCCCCTGGGTGAGAGCGGGCCGAGGGACTTTTGCCCGTGTGCGCCTTGTTCCGA